GTAATCAGATTAGTTTTATGTTGACATAATGCCATTCTTTTTACTTTATGGCATATATATATAATATTTATATATTTGCCTAGTATCATTTGCAAATTAAAATAAAAGCATATAATTCCATCGAAACCCTCTTAATCAGAGAGCCTACATGTAGTTTAAGGGTAAGAATTAAGGATGGGGAATTGTCACAGTAACCAGGCTCATGCCTGGTCAAAGGGAAGTGAGAGCCAACTTTACATCATTTTAAATGCGGCCATCTTTGAAGCAAATGTCTTCATTTCCCAAGGAATTATGCATTTGACAAATATTTTGGTTCAGGTGTGGTTCCCTATGCCAGGGATGTTGGTATCTTTGCGGCTTTTTGAGAGGTTTGCTTTCTTCCATCTCCTAACAGTGACATCTTGTCTGAAGGTCGTCATCTGCTTCTGTCATGCAACCCAGTTTATGATTCAAATCCAAGGCACTGACAGTCCTTGATTGTCGCTGATTTTCTTCCTTGTTTTCTGTTTTCCAATGAGAATAATCTTCATAAAGGTTGAAACTACATTTCTCTGTGGAGTCAATCACTATATCAATAAATAGAGGGATAAAGGCTAGGTTCTTGAGTTAGCATGGATGGGGGAAGTAAAGAAGGCTGCATCTACTTCCCAGGACAAATGGCTGAGTGGGGTGTCTATTGAACATATCAAAGCAGACCTGGCTGCCAGGTTCTCCCAGCATCCCTCAGTCCCTACCATTTACAGGGTATGGCTGCCATACTGGCCCCCTACCCTAACCTTCTCTAGCCCAGGGAGTGACTTGTTTGTGTATAATCCAGACATGTTGGCTATGCCAGTCTGTTTATCCTTTTACCCTCTTGGCCTCTTGATCCAGGCAACCCCTGCCGGCTGGTCAGTGATTCCTCTCTTGCTCTCCCTCTCTCCATTCATGGTCCAGTTTAGTCTGACAGCCATGTTCCTTGTGGACTCTTCCCTCTGCCTGCTTTCTCCCTTATCTCCACAATAAAAGTCTTCTCCATGCTTTAGGAGTAGTCAAGTAGTCATGTTCTCCTCCTTTTTATTACTTCTTCTCCTTTCTCTTCCTCTTCCTCCTCCCTCTTCTCCTCCTCCTCCTCCTCCTCCTCGTTCTCCTCCCTCTTCCTCCTCCTTCCTCTTCCTTTTTCCTCTTCCTCCTCCTCCTCCTTCAGCTATGATCTTTGGAAACATTTTTTTTTTTTTAATGTTGGAAGCTTTCCTTAGGAATTGTGGATTAGCTTATGGGACGGACTTCCAAGGTTCTAATGTTGCCATTTGAGATCAGCAAACATGTTTCTGCTAAAGGTCAGATAGTTGACACTTTAGGCTTTTTAACAAAATATTAACCCTTTGAAATGTAAAACCCGTTCGTATGCAACATTGAGTTTAGATACAGGCTATAGCCACTCTTGAATTGGTCATTGTTTGCCAGTCTATGGTGCCTGATTCTAGGGCAGTTGTCTACCTACAAAGAGAAGGTTTGGACTCTATTAATATGACACAAACATTAAACAAAGATTTTTTTCAATGACTCCAGATACTCGCCATCCAGATGAGATCGTGAAATTCTTTCTATGAAAATTGTCCAGTTTCCCTGAGTAATTATTGTAGTTTTTTTCTATTTTAGGATACTTCCCCCCCCTCAAATAATCTACAGTCACTGTGGAAAGATTAGAAAATAAAGAAAATATCAGACATAAAGAAGTGTACTTAGTCAGAAAGAATATTTTATTTTCCAATTTTAAATTCATGTGTAGATAATTTCTTAACATGGTATTTGAAACTTTCAGCTTTTAAAACTAAATGTTGAGTTGTACACCCTTTTTCATGTCATATGATTTTTTTTCTCCTTTGACTCTCAAAACAATATTTGGAAGCTTTAGAAATCTAGGAAATATAATTAGGAGTGGAAAAATAGAAAGGAAAAAACCCTCAAATAACCTCACCACCCAGAGGCAAAAGCTGATTACCTTGTAACAGTACAATTTCCAAATATTTCTACATTACATAGTGCTGCTAAGTGTTAAAGTTTAACTTGTTAGCTTTATATAATTTTTAGAGGTAACAATTATTTAAATCTTTCTGTTTAAAGGATGTGGCATCGAGTTTTTCAGTCTCCCAAGAACTTTGATAAAGTGTTCAGGCACAAATATCCAAGGGTGTGCAGTTATATAAAAAGAGATGTTACGACTTATGCTTTTAATCCTCAGAAGCACACATTGTTGCATCAGTTGCCACATTAAGGGCTAGCTTATGTTATTAAGTAACTTGTAAAATTCTATTTTTGATAACTGTGTTTGTCCTGCTGGTGATAAGAGCACACAGATCCGTCACCTCTGTGTTTTGAATTTGAATTTGATATCACACTGGAAAGACACAGAAGGGCAAGTCCTTTGAATCAGAAGTTAACTGACATCTTCATTTTGTCCAGAGATTTAAAACAAACAAACAAACAACAACAAACCCGACACTGTCTTCTATCTTCTTTGGTATCACTCATTCCTTTATTCCAGCATAGGAATACTGAAGTATTAGGAAGACGAAGGAGATTTACCTGAATCATAGAGCCTGAGGTTTTGTCTTGATACACAGGTCTACTCTTTGACCTAAATAGTCCAGTTAGCTGTCCATGAGTACACTGAAATGATACTGATTACAAAATCAAGGCTAACAGTGTAGGGCTGGACTTTACTGACCTTAGGGTAAATTAAGGCTTCCAGCAATTAGGAAACTTGTTCATGATTGTACACTTAGCATGTGATAAGGAGCAGGTGAGAGTATAGGCCTTCTGATTGTGTCATTTCCCACATTTTACAGCCCAAATCAGGAGAGATTTCTAATTTAAAACTATGTATTGTGTACATATTTTAAAACATATTGAAATGTACATATATACTCATATGTATGTATACACACATTTTTTTTTATCACTTTGATTGGAACACCTAGGTCTAAGCAACTATTTTTTGGAATGCTAGGCTTCCATGTTATCAGAGAACTTCAGACCCAATAATCATTCTGCTAACAAATATTGCTTAAGTTGTGCTGTGAAGTACACAACAAGGAACTTTCTGAATGTCTAGAGATATCCCCACAGCTTCAGTTCCTCAGATCCCCGTGTCAGAACTGGTCAAATACAATCTCCTTCCCACTCTCTTTTGCTTCATCCATCCTGCTGCTTCAAAGCCAAGTGAGAAATTGCAGTTAACAGAGCAAGGAATAGACCAGGAAATAGAAAAGAAATTCTTTTCCAATCTGATGTATATAGGAAGGGGCCAGAATGTTGACTCTGAATAATTACACTTAACCTAAATCTCAGGATTTTCAGGAGGAATCCTTTATTACCTGAATATTACCAAAATATCACGAGGATTACCCTGCGCTGTATTCTATCTTGGGGGGTGTGCCTGCATAGAGAGGAGCATTAAACGGACAGGTTAGGCTGTAGGAGTTGAATTTTGCTTGTTGAAGAAAGTGCCAAGGCAGCCATGGTTTATTTAACCATTTCCTTATTTTCTTCTACTTACATTTGTGATATCAGAAAGGTAGACTACTCTTATGTACCCAAAGATCGACTAATAGGTTTTTAAAGGGTTGAATGCTTTTCCTCTGCTGCATCCCCTGAATAAAAGTTTAAGGCTTGAGGAAAGCTAAAATTAAAAAAAAAACTAACATAAAATCACTTTTGATTATATAATATTTATGGAAGTATTTATTGATAAAAAGAAAGAAAAAAACATCTTTTTTTTAAAAAGAAAGACCATCTTTAACAGTTAACTGTGCCTGAAGACATGTGAAAAACAAGTTACATTAAGTATATTTGTTTTATAGACTAAATTCTTTAGAATTATCTGTGATTATTTTAGTGTAGTGGAAAGATACATTAATATTTAAATTATGCATTAATTTTAGAGATAAGAACATTTACAGTTCATTGATTCTAAAATAACTCAGCTTTTAGCAACTACTATAGCAAATACCTCAGTGTCTCCCTTTACTTAATGAAACTTGAGAAGTCCACTACGGAATAATAAAAACTTATGAAATATTTAAAAAGCCTGACTAACCCTCTTTATTGGGATGAAAAATATAAACACTTGAGGCATTATGTCTCATTTATGCATTTATGATTTATAGAATTAGTATCAGTAAACCTAGGACATTTCCAATAACCTAACAACAGTACAGCTAGTAAAAGCAGGATGTGGCATATTTTATCACTGCTCACACGTAACATTTGTGTTCATACTGATACGTAGCTCTGAGTTCACTGGGAAAGTATGTGGGTGAAAAACCAACAGTTGGTGGATCCAAATGCATTGTCTTGCTACAAAAGTGGCATTATGTATTCTAATGGGATAATTTTTATATATCTAACACTAGCTTGCTCCTTAATGCGGCATATAGTCACTAAGAAAAATTATCACAATGACAATAATCATATGCAAATAATTCCTAACAATCAGGCCTTTCTTGTGGCCTTTGTTTTGTTTTGTTTTTTCAAAAGGGCCAACATGGACAGAAGTTATTGTTATATGCCTTAGACTGGACAAGCTGAAATAGCTGAGCTGACAAAATATTACCTTCTTGGAAGCCACATCTTGGAGTCTTCCTTCATCTGCTGGGACCTTTGTTTTCTACCAATTACTCTAACATTAGCTAAGTTCATCTTCACTAAGAGCTGAGGATTCTAGCTTCCTTTTCATATTGCAAAATGTTCTTTCAAAACTGCAATACTCTCTATGGCTGTGGATAATGGTTCCATTTTCAAGCAACAAGTTAAGGTTGAGAGGATAGTCCAGGAGAGAACACTTCATCTACAACATCACCTTCAGAGCTAAAATAGGTTATTTTCTTCTCTTCTGTGAAAGAAAGCTCTATGAGTGTTGTACAGGCTCTGCTGGCATTCTGCATCAAGGGACATTAGTGTTTCCAAGACTCTGGATTCAATGTTGAGTCTCAGCAGACATCACAAGAAGTGCCTACCTGGACCAAGCTATATCCTGTGCGCTGGACCAGTGCGCGGAGGGCCGCTTCCTTCTGGGTGCCGCTCAATCCATCCCCGGATTTGTGATTTGATTCCATTGAGAGTGATTATCAGCAAAAAATCAGGTTAATTAGGGTTGCTCACTGAAACCAAATTTAAGATAAATTAAGTAAATTGCTATGGCCAAGTCCACATTTGCCCTTCATGTGAGGGCCTCTTTAGGATAGGTCTATCAATGAATCATTCATGTTATTACTGCTAGCAGCTGCATTCAAATAAGGCTTGCTGAATTTTTTTAAATCACACTTTTATAATTATATATAATTTTAAAATAGTCAACCTTTAGAAACAAAAAACAAAGAGCATGCATTCGCTAATTAGAACATAGTCCACTCATTCTCAGTTCCGCTCCTTTAAGATGTTGCTAAATACACAAATAAATTAGTTCATCAATTAAAAGGATGTGAAGGGAGATGGCTTAGCAGGTAAGAGTGCTTGGTGCTCAAGCATGAAAATCTCAGTTAAGTTCCCTGAACCATGTACAGTTTGTAACCCTAGCACCGTGGTGGCATTACCAGAGCTTGCTTGCCACCAACCTAGCTCTGGGTTCAGCAAAAGACCCTGTTTTGAAAAAAAATGAGGTGGAGAGTGATAGAGCAGGGTGCCTGATGTCTTCTTCTGGCCTCAGGTGTACACTTGCACAACATATACATGTGCACACAACACACACACACACACACACACACACACACACACACACACACACACACGGAGGGAGAGAGGGAGGGGGGAGGGAGGGAAGGAGGGAGGGATAGAGAATATGAATGATCAGTATAGATCTGGGAAGAAAAGACTGTCACTAAATCAATTATACTAATGTAGGAAGTTGAAATTCTGAGGTTGAGCTTCATCCATCTATTCTATGTGCTTTTGCCTAGTTATTCTACAAACAAGACTGGTTAAAGGATTTTAAAAGTCATATGTAGACACATATACACATTCTCACATTTTTACATATATAAAAATTTAGAACAAAGGTTTCAGTGCTTACAGTTTACAAAAGTTTTATTTTATTTTTTAAGTATTTAAATTAATTAAGTGTGTGTGTGTGTGTGTGTGTGTGTGTGTGTGTGTGTGTGTGTGTGTACATACATGCATGAAGCATACACAGAGGTCAAAGGATAACTTGCAGAAGTCAATTCTCTCCTTCTACCATGTGGGTTTTGGGGATTGAACTCAGGAAGTTAGACTTGGCAACACATCTCATCTATCTGAAGGTCCTGACTTTGTTTTTAATCTTGATTTTCTGTCTTGGTTAGGAAATTAGAGTCTTTTACACCATAGTTGTGATTTGAGATTATGTGGCAACTCATTAGGTCATGTGGCTTTACTGCCACAGTTAGAGTACATACTGTTTCCATGGATACTAAAATATAGGTGAATCTGTGGGCAGATACAGTTGTACAAATTGTTATGAAGTAATCTTAAACATAAATTATAAAAACTATTTTTGAAGATTTATAAAGAAACTAGTGCAAGAGTTACATTTTGTCTAATGCTATTTTTTTAATGTTACTAAATATCACTGAAGTTGCTGTTTAATCAGGAAGCTCTCAGATTCTCCCATTGTGCCTTGCTTATCCTGGAGGCCCAGGAGGATACAGAGGATCTGATAAAGTTATTTCTATGTGCCTTGATAGCTTTGAAGGCAGTCTACAGTCTGTTAGCCAAGTTATAGGTTTTTCTTTTCTAAACTTCATCATTTCCATCAAAATGGTAATACTTCATGGTTACATGATGAATTCTTTTTTTTTTTCAAAACCTACCTTGAGTTTGGGTTAGTAATTATTACAGGTTATTATTATTATTTTTTTATTTATTATGTATACAATGTTCTGTCTGCAGGCCAGAAGAGGGCGCCAGATCTCACTACAGATGGTTGTGAGCCACCATGTGGTTGCTGGGAATCGAACTCAGGACCTCTGGAAGAACAGCCAGTGCTCTTAACCGCTGAGCCATCTCTCCAGCCCTAAAGGTTATTTTTATTAAAGGAACTTTGACATCACAAAAGCCTCTCAGCTCCATTGGAGTTCGTGGTGAAGTTCTGAGAAGTCCTTTTCAATATCTAAATCTCAAATCACTGGCACTCAGTAGTACATCAGAATGAAAGTCATAATTTTCATCAAAAGGCACTTTAGGGATTGGGTGTAGTTTTTTAGTGGCATACCACCTGATTCAAGTGTGAGATCCCAGGTTTAAACATCAGAACTCCCAAACAAAACCCAACCCAAGCCAAAACAAAACAAAAAAGAAAGACAAAAGAAGAATAGAGTTGAAGAATTGTGTGCAAGAAGCAGAGGCCCAGTGATGGGGCCTGTTTTTCTCAGTGCCTTTATCTATCCAAACAGATAAAGTGAATGGCAGGTAGACAGGTATCCCAGTCTGAATTTCAAGGGAGAGTTCCACCTGGGAGACACTGGCTTGGAGCTGACGTATGACAGATTTTAGTCTTGAGACTAGAAGAGCTCATGTAAGGACTGAGTAGAAGGTGTATATCTAAGGCAGATCTCTTATAGGTAACTAACTTATAGAAGCCAAAAGATAAGGAAGATTCAGCAAAGGAGACCTAGATGGAAGAGCATAAGGTAAGAGAACCAGGGGCTGAGGTGGTTTAGAAGCCGAGGAAAGAGTTCTGAGAATTGGGGAGGGGGGAGTCAGCTGTCTAAGGGCCACTAAGCAGGCAGAGGCCTGAGCAGGAACACAGACCTGAGAGGTGCCTTTCTGTTCTCTTTCTGCTTTTTACTGTTGTCTCAGCAAGCTCCTTAACTATGTCTCAACTGCAGCAATGATATCCCAGTCACCCTGGGTGTAATAAGAGCAACATACTGACACTGCTTTGGCAAACCTCCGGCTTGTTGTACCAGCTGGAGGATCACTAGGCATAGGATCATAGCATCCGTCAGAAGAAGTAGGAGAGGCAATGTAATTGCCAAGCACCTCTACTTTCAGCTCTCAGGTTCTGCTATGAAAACTTACGTGGGTTTGTGGAACAGCACTGTTACTCAGTTCAGATAAAGGGAAGAGTGAGATAAAAATAGAAGTTGACGAAAAACGGTCACAGGCAGCATTGTAGGGAAGAATCATACATTTACATGCCCACACTGAGCATTGGGCTGTTCATTTTTGAGTTGCAGTGAGGAAGAGGCTGTGGACAAGTGGCCATCCTGAAGGTGAACGAGAAAACATTTCCGATGTGTTTTGTTTAGGTCTAGCATGTGTGATTCGATGTGATTTAATATTCCTACTAATAAGTCGTAATGAAAGACAGCTGTGAGATAGAGGGGTAGCAGAGTAATTCCAGAACAGCCTTGCTCTACTTTATACTCTGTTGCTGTGATGAACACCATGACCAAAAGTGATTTAGGAGAGAAAAGGGATTTATTTCAACTTACAGGTTGCAGTCTGTCATTTATGGCAATTGTTCTCAACCTTCCTAATGCTGTGACCCTTTAATTCAGTTCCTCATGTTGTGGTGACCCCCCCAAACATAAAATTATTTTGTTGCTACCTCATAACTGTAATTTTGCTACTGTTATGAGCAGTAATGTAACTATCCAATATGAAGGATATCTAAAATGTGACTCCCAACGAGGTCACAACCCACAGGTTGAGAACCACTGATTTAGGGCGTTCAAGGCAGGAACTCAACCAGAAACCATGGAAGAGTGCTGCTTTCTAGCTTGTTCATGGAAGCCTGCTTAGCTAGCTATTTTACATATAGTTCAGGCCCACTTGCTTAGGGATGGGTAGTGGACTGGCCCCTCTTATATCAATTAGCATTCAAGAAAGTGCCTCACACACATGCCCACAGGACAATTGGGTAGAGACACTTCTTCAAATGAGGTTCTCTTTCCTGCAGTATCTAGGCTGTGCCAAGTTACAATAAAAACTAACCAGGACATACTCCCTGGACAAGCTTCATTTGAAAAACATGGTGAAGGGAAACCATGATATAAAATGTCAAGGGTCTTCACTAGCACTGTCCAGCTACCATTTAACAGTCTCTGATCAATGTCTCCACATTCCCTAGGGCTATGTTTTTCTTAGCCATAAACTCTTAGTTCAAATGTGTATTGCCTACCGAACTTAACTATATAAAAATAGGCTCCTTGATCTAATTGTGGTAGTCATATCTGTAATCCAAGTCTATTGGGGGTGGGGTGCTGCTGCAATGAGAATGAAGAGTTCAAGGCTAGCTTGGGCTATGTAAGGAGACACCATGTTAAAAGAAAAAGAAGCTATCCCCTTTTATTCTTCTGCTTCCATCCCAGGAGGAGCTCTTTGAGCCTCAATGTCTTTATATATAAAATTAGACAATAGTATTTCTTATTTCATAGTTCTTCTGAGGATTAAACATTAAAATAAATATCAACTACTCAAAATGGTCTCTGGTATTTAATACCTGCAAAGTGTTGGCTATTATATCTCTACACAACTCCATGTGGTAGATAAAGTCCCATGTCATCAGCGTGACACATTCTCTTCGGTACCACAGTCTGGGTTTCCTTTCCCCATCCTTCATGTGTTCTTCCTCTGAGCACCAGCATTTTCCCTTAGCCTTCCAGGCTCACTGCTTACAATGTTCCTTTCCTACATCTTCTGACTTCACTGGCCTTGTTGATCCCATCTAGATTTGGTTGGAGGTTGTTTGCTTTGTGGTGTCTTCTTTGACAACTTCCCTGAGTAACATTAGGTGCCCTCTCCTTAATGCTCAAGAAAGCCTGCACAGCCAATATTGTCACACATGGTGCTGTAAGGTTCCCCTGACTATCATTCTCAATGAACTGCAAGCTTGCTAAATGAAAGAACTGTCTTGTACATGTAGCTTGCCCCGAAGACTTGATGTTATGCCAAGTGTTCAACAGACATTTGCGGATTAAACAGAAGAGTGGGATCAACAATTTTATAGATTATAGCGACTTGCATTCAATCAGAAGTAAAATGAGCATTTAAATTAAATGTCCTAATACTCATTATTTCTTATGATTTCCAGAAACTTTTTTTAGTTCTAACCTAGAGTAAACTAATTTTATGTGAGAAATTGATTTTTAATGGTTTCTGCACATGTCATATTTATGACAGA